CAGTGCCACGTCACAGTGCCAAGTCACAGTGCCACGTCAGCAGTGCCACGTCAGCAGTGCCATGTCACAGTGCCAGATCAGCAATGCCACGTCAGCAGTGCCACGTCAGCAGTGCCACGTCAGCAGTGCCACGTCAGCAGTGCAAGGTCACATTGCCACGTCAGACACAGTGCCACGTCAGCAGTGACGTCCGACACAGTGCCACGTCAGCAGTGCCACGTCAGCAGTGCCACGTCAGCATTACCACGTCAGACACAGTGCCACGTCAGCAGTGCCACATCAGCAGTGCCACGTAATCAGCAGTGCCACGTCAGCAACATGATGGGCCTGCCAGGCCAACTGGCCAATGAGACCATTGCCGCCTACAAGCAGAATTGCCTGGCTCAGATAGAGGCTGAGGAACAACGCCTGCTGGCAGTCGAGGATGCCTGCGTACAGGCTGAAGAGGCAGCAGCAGCAGAGAAGCTGCGGCTACAGGCCGATGCAGACGCAGATTCCCAGGCTTGCCTCAAGGAAGCCCAGGATCTGCTACAGCGGCATGAAGCCACAAGCATCGACAGACTCAAGTTCTGGCATTTTGAACCAAACGGCGAAGAGGCAACACCGGAAGAGCAGCATAAGGAGTTCCTCTCCAAACTCGTGATACGGTTGCTGTATGCTTGCAACTACCAGCGGTCATAGTTGGAGAGACAGTACCAGGACCTGACGCAACAGCATCAGGAGTTCGCGACGCTCCGCCGCACAATGCAGAGCCACGAGGATGCAACTCAGGCACTCAATGCCCGATTGCTGGACCTGGAACAACCTATACCAGGACCAACTGCTGGGGCTTCCAGCAGTGCACCCTCTAGCCGCCAACTGGAGGAACGCGTTGACCACATCCTGGCAATGCTCGGCGACATTAACACCTTCGCTGCGCCATCCACCATCAGCACTCAGCTGCATACCTTGAAGACCGAGGTCCAACAGCTGCAGTCGACGGAACGCAGATGGCAATCAGAAGATGCCAACTTTCCAACTGGAAAAGTTCGACGACTACACGCATCAGGATCCGACCCTCTGGTGGGAGGCATTCACGACGCAACTCAGGATTCTGCCTGTCGCTAAGCACAAGTACATCGGCGCCCTGTTCCTAAACTCAAAGGGCGGATGCCAGACCTGGTTGACCCACCTGGCAACCTCCCACGGCGTCGACGTACCGGACCTCAAGGACAAGATCACATGGGAAGAACTGACACGGCTGTGGAAGAAGCGGTTCATCGTCGACGACGCGCCGACACTCGCCATCAACCGTTTGTTCACCATGTCACTGGGCAACACAGCAACACGGGATTGGCTCACAGAGTGGCAGAAGATTGCGGCAGTGCCCAATCTGGACCTGCCTTTCACTCATCTCAGGCGTGAGTTCTACAACAGGTCCTGTGCTGCATTGAGCCAGGCTCTTGGTGATCGCGAGCAGTACGCCACCTTCGCCGAGATTATCGACAAGGCGCGAGAGATCATCAAGACCAACAGGTCAGCTGCACACGAGAAATCAACATCATGGCAGGCGACCTATGTGGAGAAGGTACGAACTGGTCCGCGACAGCAGCACTTCACTGCAGTCCAGCAGGACAGTGGGGATAACCCAGCAGCCACTCCAGCATCAAGTGACGAAGATCAGGTGGCTGCTGTCCAGCCGCGAAGCACCAACAAGTCCCGCAACAATGGGAAGGCGAAATCCGCATCGCAGGCCAAAAATGGACAGCCAGGACAGTTTCCATGGGTCAAGTTTGGCTTGACCGAGGCAGAGTACAAAGTCCGCGGCCGCTACGGCAGCTGCTATTGGTGCAACGGCACCAAGCACAAGACCTCCCTGTGCCAGGATCAGGGCAAGGAGGATGTGCGACCCCGCCTCAGCTCGGGAAACTGAGCTTCGCGGAAGGTGAGGCGACTCCACCTTCCACTCTGCCAGATTCGGCCGCCTTGCTAGCGGCCTCCTGCACATCTGGGGAGGACGCGAATGTCGCAAGTCCTCGGTATACTTACGAGGATTATGCTGTCCACTTGGTTCCACCGCTGGACCAACCACTCCACGTGCAACAGTCCACCGCATGCACGGTTTAATCACCATCGGCAACCGGTTCGGCAGCTTCGTCGCAATCTATCGCCGGGGATTCGACGTCATGGTCAAGAATTGATGAGCTCGACCCGTTGACGTTCACGGACTTCCAGTGGATGCCCGTTCCCTCGACCGGACGATTGTCGAAACCGCATTGCAATGTGCTTATGGCACAATTGCGGGACTACTTGCACACTGCAGTACCAGCTCCGTTGATGGACGCCGGAGCAGAGGTTGTCGACCTTCACGTTTACATCGCGAAGATCGACCGCGAGTTCAAGACGCAACGGTACGACGACATCGACGCACCATTGCTATACGTACGCATTCAAATCGGAGAGGCGACCTGCAGTGCCTTGATCGATTGCGGAGCATCTCGCAACTACATCAGCCAGGACTTCATGGTACGTGCCGGCCTTGGCCCACGTGTCCGGAGGAAGTCCCAGCCTAAGCAAGTCACTCTGGCAGACGGTCATACGCACAAGTCCATCGACCGGTGCATTGACGCCGTCCCAGTGTACTTTGCCCCTCACGCAAGTGAGGCGGTGTCCTTTGACATTCTGGACACCAAATTCGACATGATCTTGGGCATGTCATGGCTGTGAAGCGAGGATCACCCGGTGAACTTCTTCAACCGCACCGTTCACGTTCGTGATCGGAACAGAGTATTAGTTCCATGCACGGTGCCTCTTCCTCATCCTTCGATCARCTGCCACGTGGTATCCGCCGCAAGCATGCGAGCTTCCATCATCAGAGACGACATCGAGGAGATGGGGGTGTGTTTTCTCCACGCCCTCCCGCCACATGACTCTTCATCGACGAACTCACCTTCGGATCCACGCATCACCGAACTTCTCGACGCCTAYAGCGACGTGTTCGAAGGCCCACACGGAGTAGTACCGGATCGACCCATCCGCCACGAGATCATCCTCGAGGACGGGGCCGTACCTCCGCGCGGTT